TGCTCTCCACTACAAACGTTCACATCGCGTCATCCGGGGTCCGCCGAAGTCCTCAATGACCTGCATCCAAAGTGGCCATATTGCCATCAGCTACAGATGACGCGCGTCAGTCCAAGACTGTGGGTCAATTTGGTGTATATATCTGGACTCCGACCATGCAATTGTGCACATACGCTTGGGGCTCACTCTTCCTGCTTCAAAAAATATCTATCTAATCACCTTACTTGTAACTTGAACTCGCAGTCTACAGTTCAATCATATCAAGATGAATTGGTCCTTCAATTGTTAATGATGAATGAGGTTGATAAATCGGACGCTGACTGGAATCGTTTCAAGTATGTCGTGAAGAAAACTTTTGCCATACGCTGTACACTCATTTTCAGACGCCTAGACCGTGTATGGATTTCTGAGGCATCAATCAGTCTGATCGAAGCATGGAAACAGGTTCCGTCGGGTACTAAGTTTCGGTGTGTATGTAACACTATGAAATGATTGATAAGGTGTATTTAAATTGACCGGGAGTGTTGGTGAATGGCAAGAACCCTGAGATGGAGAAAGTCAATGTCATTCGGAACAGCCAAGTGGTATTTAAAATCATCCGGTATACGGGCTCCAGAAAACACTCAGTTAGTGAAATAACAGCCGAGAAAGTTGAACAGTTGGTCCGTTCTCACAAACATCTACTAGGCCACTGGGTGGAACATTTTGATTAGCACTTAAGTAGACCTGCTACGACACTTCCGCTTACCGTTGAAGTTGATGTCGAGCTACCAAATTCGAAGAGGTTGGGCATAGATGCACTGCAGTAAAACGAAACAAGCTTCTGGACCCGATAACCTTTCTCAATTCTCGCTAAAAGGTGGATATGACTGCTGGCTGCAGTTGCTGCTCTATTTAACATGATTTGCTTTCAGACTGGTGACCGACAGACGTGTTTCTCATCACTAAAAGGATCAAAGCACTTTGTGCGACAGGCATAGAGTTATTACATATGTTTCTGTTGACTTCAAACATCTCACACTTATCAGTTTTCGATGACTTGTTCTTTTAATAGCCGAATACGTGAGAGCCATATTGATGTCCGCCCTAGCCATGGTCGTTTTGACCATATCAACTTTGTGCCGTTAAGGAATATTTCTCAGAGAAAGCTACCGAAACAAGAGCTGGCGAACAGGCTTGTATCAGTGCTTCATCATCAGGCTATTGCGACCACAACTAAAGACTAGAACGGACAACTGAGGATTAAACATAGTAAATGACTCCAAAGTTTAATCGAGAAAGCTACATAATTAGCACGAAATTTCTTACTGATTTAGCACTAACCGAGCCAATCAAATATCCCTACCGATTGGACGTTTCGATAAAGGGACAATGCGTTCCGATGGTTGAGCTACATGTTCCGCATGCTAGCCCACTGACTCCCCCCGGCATGCGTTGTTTGCGCGCCCGGGGTCTGGATGGAAAAGGAGGGGATGTCAAGCACTGTTGTTGTTAAGAGGAATGAAGTCCCTCATTTCGAAGTTGGCGTCGGTTGGTGTTTCCCGACTGCCGAGCTGGGATCTGAAGGACGATGAACACGTTCGGTTGGACACATTTGCTAACAAGGCTAGGAATTGGACCCAATTGCCATCGTCTGTGAATTTCGTTGTCCCTCCCCTCTCTTTTAGAAGCCTCTCCAATCACGAACTCATACTAAGTGAATAAGATGACATTTAACATTATGGCACTTGCTTTTGAAACGGTTAGTATATTATCCTTTTTGTATTGCGGCACATTAGCTGAGGTGTGTTTCTCACCCTTAGTTAACGTGTATTAATGATGATGATGCGTTCAAACCACACGTGTCCATTCTAGTCGTCATCAAATGTTAAAGCAGAGATATCTACAGACGACCGACTATGTTCATTTACCTTGACCCAAAAACCACCTTCGAGAATGATGATTGTGCCAGCTTGTGGTACTATCGGTGAAAGGCGTACTAGGAAAACTCGTTTCTACTCGGAGATCTCTGTACGGTGACGCCGTGGAAAAATAAAGGTCTACGGGAGAGTATCCTATGAGTTTCTCACGAGGAATGGAGTTCTCCAGGCCTGTCCTCTATCCCTTTCTTCTTCAACATTGTGACCGAAATGATAACAAATCACTGCCCTCTCAGCTTCTTCCGGAGTGGAAGTTCGGCCGGGTGACCAAATGAATATCGAAGATGCGGACGATGTAAATGTCCTTGTGTCGGATCAAGCGTTGATTATGCTAGTGTGGCACTGCACCCTTCGGCATGTACCTTGCACCTTCAAAGTACAAAGTTTTGTCACAGGACTGGGACGATACGCTACTAATACTAGTTATTCTCAAGTAGCCAACGGACTTGATTGATCAGTTAAGTTACCCTAATGGTCGTGTCACTTTTAGTAGCTAAATCACGGAAACGTTTGCTTCGCGTATCAGTAGAACCAGTGTGGCTTTTAAGAGACTCAACAACCTTGGAAGACGGCATAAAATCAACCAGTCAGTGAAAGCCAGGATGCAAGAAGCAGTTTGGATCAGAGACCTGGGTAATCAGTATGGAAGACATCAAAGGAGTAATCGTCTTGGATCACTAGTGATTGCGGAGTATTGCTCACATCTGAGCGATGCTGAGGTCCACCGAATGATGTTTGGCAAGAAACGTTCTGGTGCATCACTCGAGTGTTTATCAAAACGTAAACACGTTGGTTAGGCCGGCCCGTGGACTAAAGAATTACAAGCCTGCCTAGTGATCCGAGGGCGCGGGTTCGAGGCTGCGTAGGGTACCGGATGACTATCGCAGTATCCCTAGCCTACGCGCGATTGGTGGTTGCGCGGCAGCGAAGCGTCTGTACTACGTACTGGCGTACGACCGATGCCTTGTGCTTACTTTGCGACAGGTGCTAGAGCAGCGCCACACATACCGCAGACCGACAATAGCTGTGTTCCTCGATTTCAAGAGTGCGTTCGATTTAGTCGATCGATCGATTCTGTTCGACATACTTGCGCGGATAGGTGTTCCCACGAAATATGTGAACATCCTTCGTGCTTTATACTCGAACACTACAGGCCGCGTCAGGGTCTACGGTGTCCTATCGGATAGCTTTCCGACCATAAGTGGCGTTCGTCAGGGTAGTCCGATTTCCCCGTTTTTGTTCAATTTCGTCATGGATTCTATCATGGAGTGTTCGCTTGCAGAATCCCAAGATGTAGGCGTTGAAGTGCTGCCTGGTGAAAGGTTAGTTGATCTAGATTATGCGGACGATATCGTCTTGCTTTTCGACGATGTTGCGGCGGCACAATCAACCCTGAATTGCCTGTCTAGAGTGGTCCCATTATTTAGTATGCACTTCGCACCTTCAAAGTGTAAAGTGTTGCTGCAGGACCACCAGACACTTGATGACCCCTTGACGCTTGCTGACGAGGAACTCGAGGTGGTTGATCATTTCACTTATCTTGGCAGCTGCATCAACGGTGATGGGCGCATAGGAACTGATGTCAGATCACGCATTGCAAAAGCCAGAGCTACCTTCTTGAACTTGCGGCATCTTTAGCGACAGAAGGGAGTTTCCCCCGTCTGAAAGGCCGGGTATACATGGCCACAGTAAGGGCCGTTCTGCTCTATGGTAGTGAGACTTGGCCCCTTCGGTCTGAAGATCTGAGGCGCCTTCAAGTCTTTGATCATCGTTGTCTGAGAAGCATTGCTGGTGTCGGATGGCACCAGCGTGTCCGCAACGACGATGTGCGTAGGCGAGTACTGTGGTGATAATCATGCTAGCTCGCTAGAACAAGAGATAGCACTGAATAAGGTGCGTTGGCTTGGGCACGTGCTACGTATGCCTGGTCACCGTTTACCTAGGAGGGCCTTGTTTAGTCTGCCAGGTGTATTGTGGTTTATAGCTCGAGGCGGACAGAATTTGACTTGGCGGCGGGAAATGAAGTCACTGACGATCAAACTGGGTGCCGTTGGTCTGTCTCGCCTTCCGGGCTGGAGTCCACGTAACTCGCCTTGTGAATGACTCGAGACTTTACAGGACATGGCTCGCAGTAGACACCAGTGGCGTGTCTGCTGCCGTCTCCTAATCGCATTGCCTGTTTAAAGTGTGTTTGGTGTTGAGTTATCTGCGGGGTAATGGCTGATTATGAGGCGTGGCAGTGAAAGCCGCAAGGAAGCTGTATCGCCGATGCCGACTTATCTTTGCACAATAGCCAGCTGTTTGTGACGGTATGTTGTCTACACAAAGGGTAGGCGCCTTGACCCTGAATGTTTGCTTAGGGCATTAAGGTTTTCAGGTAAGTCCCCTTTCTCTCCCTCTTCTTATGCTTTATAGGTCCTCATGGTTGTATGGCAGCGAAGCATCAGTTCAAATGGCTGATGTACTGCTGGTGATGATGATGATTGTGCTTACGTTGGTTAGGTCATGTTCTGCGTATGCCCGTTGACCGGGCTTTAGCCGCGCGCGTTACAGATTGTCACTGAACCAACTTGGGCGGAAGCGCGAGGTGGCCAGTCGATGACATGAAGATAATGAATGAAAAATTGACTGGAAAACTTGGTGGGGTTGGTGCGTGTCGTCTTCATGGATATGGGCCTCGGCATGGTCCACATCAGTGACTGAAGACCCTATTAGTCGGTGGAGCTCTCGTATCTTTTGCCACAAACAGTTGTCAACATTTCAAACCGAATAACTTCACTCTTTTTATACTTGCAGTCAGCACTCAACACACAGAGGTCTGAATTCATAAGGTGAACATGGTGAAGGTCCAAAAAGTGAAAAAAGACCAGATCAAGATGGGTGTTTTTCCCGTAATTCCCTTTGCTCTGTGTTACGTTTGTGCTGCACCTTATTTTCTCACTATGGTTGCGTGTTGTTATTTTGGTGGCGAGTTGTGGCAAATCGATATCTGGATCACAGGTTGTTTAACTGAGCTGATTGAAGGCACAAAAAGGATCAATCAGGGTTGTCATGAAACATTATATGTAAGCAGACACTTACATTGCCTTGAACAAGCAGCGCTTCCTGCAATTCTTGAACTTTCCGACACAAGGAGACGCCATCGCATTGGTTTGCCTGTTCATCATCCAGCGTGTACCTGGGTAGAGTGAGACTACGCTGAGTTCGGATCATGTCTTCAATGTGCAACAGAAGATCCATGTCGATACCAATGTCATCCGTTTGGCAGGTAACATCTGTAGTACTAGAACGCTGTCGATTACATGATGAACACAAGACTGCAGAAGGAGGGGGCGACAGAGAGATAGAGCTTACGGTCGTGGGAACTACCGTGGCCGTTGGTTTAGGAAGTCGCGCATCCGGAGTTGGATGCCCACAGGAAGATGTGATGTTGTGTGGCTGTTCCCGCACAATGACTCCGTAACAAGGCAGAAGTTTAGATGCACGAATGCGGGGCAAATCGCGGCCCAAGAAGGAATGTGGATTTTCAACGCACAATGAAATTCGTCGGGCACCGGGTGGAAGTGGAGCTCGAAAACCTGGAGGGACAGTTGTGGCAGCTTTGTACGGTTCGAATACCGGAACAAAATGTTCATGCGACATTGAATACAGTGTGCTGGATCATGTAAAGTATGTCAATAGGAGGCTGGGTTAGACGACATCAGTAAGACTGAAAGAAACGATGAGTGATGTGGTATAATAACCTATTTTCTAGCAACAAAGGCGGCAATGACAAAAGAATGGAATAAATAATCCCATAAGAGGTGACGTATTTACAGAACAGCAAGGGTGATGATGAAAACAGGCCTTGATTCACAGTCAATGTGGGTTCAATAAAAGCAGCAAGTGAAGCTCAGGATAGCCAGTTCAGGTAAACAGCTATGATCATGGCACTGAAGTGCAGTGGAGCCAGTTGTCGCGAGGCACTTTGTCAGAATAATAATTTGTAACAACGGCAAGAAAATGAGATCGGATACAAAGAAAACGGAATCAGGACAGAGTATCCGAGAAAAGGTAAAAACACAAAGGAAGAAGCTATGGAACTTGCAACACACGAACTACGAAAGAAAAAGGAAAGTATGTAATGGTGACTGAAAATTGGGGTGAAAGGAATCGCCTACCCTATGCTGTCGATCAGGCGATCGATCGAGCGGATGAACAGGTTTTTAAACACTCAGCTAATTGTAATTTGCTTCTGAGTTGAGAGCACAGCGGTTCGGCGGCAATTTTGGCTATGTTGACAGCTTTTTTGGTTAACACGTTTTTCGTGGCCAAAGTCGTTGGTATTTTGATTTTTCTTCGGTTAGGCTAGAATTTTTGCGGATAAATTTTTGGGTGTTTAATTCGGAATAGCGAGAAAAAGTGAAGAGCTAACAATGGTGACGGTCAAGCACGAAAATGTTACAAATTTTCCTGCCGAACATTTTCAAAAGCTGTCTCTTCAGCAACAATCCCAGATGGAAGCACAAATAAAACTGATTGAAAGTTTAACGCAGTGCTTGAACGCACAATCAAACGGAGCAGCTACACGGGACACGCAGGCTGTTTCACTTGATCCTCTTACGAATTCAATCACTGAATTTCATTATAATGCTGATTCCGAATGCACTTTCGAGGCGTGGTTCAAACGCTAGGAGGATATGTTCCGGACGGATTTCAGCAGTCAAGATGATTCATGGAAAGTGCGTCCTTTGTTCCGCAAGCTCGGCAATAATGAACATACAAGATTCGTTGACAACATCTTGCCCAAAGAGCCGAAGGACATCACTTTCAACGAAGCAGTGGCAACCCTCAAAGAAATTTTTGGTGAGTCGACCTCTTTGTTTAGCATTCGCTATCAATGTCTAAAAATTGTTAAGCGTGATACAGACGATTATGGGGCACTAGCAGACATGGGTGACCGTGAATGTGAACGTTTCAAGTTACGCTGTTTGACGGATGACCAGTTTAAGTGTCTTATATTTGTCAGTGCTTTACAGTCTCCACGCGACGCGGAAATCTGCACTCGGCTCCTTGCTAAGTTGGGTCAAAATCCAGATTTGACATTGAAGTCTCTTGTAAGTGAATGCAAACGGTTGATTACCTTCAAACACGACACGGCTATGATTGAGCAGAGTCGCCCCACCATTGCCGATACTGTTCATGCTGTGCAAAAAGCAAGAAAGGCTGGCTCGAACAAGCCGTTCAACAGAACGCCGAACAAGCCGCCTACACCTTGTTGGTCACGTGGTGAATGGCATTTCGCACGATACTGTCCATTCAAGCGTCACATTTGTGATAAGTTCCATAAACACGGCCACAAGGAAGGCGTTTGCCATCAGTCCCGGCCAAGAAACGTGAAGCAGTCCTACCGAAGGAAGAACTTCAGGAAGCCTGATGCAGAATCACTATCGGTGATTGCCACGTTTCACAGCGATTCTAGAACACGCCGTCGATTTATCACTGTGCTTATCAAAGGAATCCCAACCCGACTGCAGTTCGATACGGCATCAGATATAACGATCATTTCCAAGAACACCTGGAAGCACATAAAAAAGCCGAAGATGGTTGATTCCAACAAAGTCGCCCACAACGCATCCCGTGGAGTGCTGAGGCTGGTCGGAGAAATAAATTGCAAAATTGCATTCAACAGAGTGGAACAGGCCGGGACCTGCTACTTGTCTGACCGACCAGACTTGAACCTCCTTGGATTTGAATGGATGGAAAAATTACAACTGTTTGATGTTCCAATGAGTCAGATTTGCAATAGAGTCCAAACCGACTCAGTCCATGCATCATTGTCGATAGAAGACATGACAAGAAAGCTAAAGCAGAAATTTGACGCCTTGTTTGAAGATGGTCCCGGCCAATGCAGTAAATTCAAACCAAAGTTGTGCCTTCGTGAAGGAACCAAGCCAGTCTTCAGAGCAAAAGACCGGTACCGTATGCAGCCATGGCAACAGTTGATCAGGAGCTCGGCCGACTGGAACGAGCCGGTGTCATCACAACAGTTAACTACTTCATGGGCTGCGCCGATTGTTGCTGTGAGAAAGCCGAACGGTAAAGTGCGTGCCTGCGCCGATTTTTCGACTGGCCTGAATGCCGCATTGGACGACCATCAATACCCCCTTCCGATACCAGAGGATAACTTTGCCAAGCTGAATGGTGGGAAGTGTTTCGCCAAGCTCGACTTGTCCGATGCCTACCTCCAGGTCGAGGTTGATGAAAGCTCGAGAGAATTGCTGACCATCAACACTCATCGTGGCTTGTACCAGTACAACCGCCTCCCTTTTGGCGTGAAAACAGCACCAGCCATCTTCCAGCAGCTGATGGACACCAAGCTCGCGGGAGTTACTGGAGACGCGGCGTACCTGGATGATATCATTTTAATGGGTCGGACGGCAGAAGAACTATTTCAGCGGCTCGCTGAAGTGCTTGTACGTATCCAGTCATACGGTTTCCGTATCCGTGAAGACAAGTGTACTTTTTTTTACACCAACCATAAAGTTTCTCGGATTAATTTTCTTAAAAGACGGTTGTCGCCCTGATCTAGAAAATATCCGAGCTATTCAAAAGATGCCCCCACCTGTGGACTTGCAGTCGCTGCGTTCATTCTGTGGCCTAATCAGTCATTACAGCGCTTTTCTGCCCGAACTGCATCGCCTGCGTGCCAGGCTGAATAAGTTGCTGAGCAAGGGCCAAACCTGGAATTGGACGCCAGAATGCCAGACTGTGTTCGAGCGCATCAAGTCATTGCTGGCTTCAGACCTACTCCTAACTCACTTTGATCCCTCCCGGGAAATTGCCCTTGCCACAGACGCATCGAGTCTAGGGATCGGTGTCGTAGTTTCCCATACGTTCCCAGATGGACCTCAGAAGGCGGTCGCACATGCCGCCAGGACGCTGACGAAAGCCGAAAGAAACTACAGTTAGATCGATAAGGAGGCATTGGCCATAGTGTTTGTTGTGAAGAAATTTCACAAGATGCTGTATGGTCGTCGCTTCAAACTCGTGACGGATCATAAGCCACTGCCGGCCATTTTCGGCTAAAAGAAGGGAATTCCTGCATATACAGCCAATCGACTCCAACGATGGACACTCACCTTGCTGGGCTATGATTTTGAAACCCGGTATCAGTCAACGGATTCGATGCGCCAGGCAGATGCGTTGTCACGCCTCATTGATTCCTAGCAGCAAAAACACGAGGACACCCTCATTGCCTCAGTTGAGATCGAACATGATGTCAAATTCCTGGTGAGCGAGGCACTACATGGTATGCCAGTTACGGCCGATGCTGTGCGGGCCGAAACGCTTCGAGACCCAATCCTGAAGAAGGTGACACACTTCCACAGAACCAGCTGGCTACGTTCGTGTTCATTTGCCGAAATGCAGCAGTTCTATCAGCGAAGACATTCGTTGTCCATTGTGAACAATTGCGTCATGTTCTCAGAGAGAGTAGTCGTCCCGCAGGCGTTGCAAGAAAGAGTGCTGCGACAGTTCCATGTAGGACATTCAGGGCTCAACCGAATGAAAGCGCTTGCCCGAAGTTATGTATTGGCCGTTTATGGACAGACAACTGGCGGAGTTGGCTAGACGTTGTGGCAACTGCGCTACCACTTCAAGGGCACCGCCGAAGACTGAACTTCACTCGTGGCCTAAACCAACTAAACCTTGGAGCCGTGTTCATATCGACTTTGCAGGCCCAATCGATGGCCAGAACTTTCTCATAGTGGTCGACGCTTATATCAAGTGGCCCGAAGTGTCCCTCATGAGAAGCAAGAAAACCAGCGCAACAGTCTCGAGGTTGCGACAAATCTTCAGCAGGTTCGGCTGCGCTGACAAATTGGTGACGGACAATGGAGCACAGTTTACTTCGGCCACATTCACGGAATTCTGCCAACGCTGCGCCATCAAACACGTGCGGTCTCCACCATTCCACCCACAATCGAATGGCCAAGCGGAGAGGTTTGTGGATACATTCAAACGCGCTCTCCTCAAATCAAGGAGGGAGGGAGACAGAGAGGAGGTGATCGACCGCTTCCTCTTTCTGTACCGATCTACACAAAATTCACAAACCGGGTGGAATATCACCAGCAGAGGCAATGATGAAGAGAAAACTTCGCATGCCATTTGATGCAGTTCGGCCGTCCTCAGAGTCAACAGCTATTGAAAAGAACCTCAAGATGGAACGTGACTTTAATCGGCGGTATAGTGCCAAGCGACGTTGGTTTAAATCAGGTTAGCCAGTACTTGTGAGTATCGGGATAGACGTCAGGTACGATCCAGGGCAAGCGCGGGAACGTCATTTACGGCTTGCTGGTTGGAACGCAGGTGTGGGTACGCCATGCAAACCAACTGCGACCAACAATGTGTCAGCCACAAGCAACAGAATCTGCCGAGCTTCCATTTGACCTGTTGACAGACAGGTTCAACTTGCCTAAAGAGCCAATAGAAGAATCCTGTCATCAGAAGAATGATACCAGACCGCAGAGCACGGAATCTGAATCCAGAACACTACAGACAAGGCGATGGACCTCTAGGCGTAGAACCCCATCCAGGAGGTTTCAGGTCTATCCCAGGCTAGCATCATACACCGCAGCAGCCGCTTCAGGAGGGGAGGTATCCGGGAAAAGGTAAAAACATAAAGGAAGAGACTATGGAATTTGCAAGACACGAACTACGAAAGAAAAAG